GAATTCTACCCGGACGAGGTCAAGACGAAGGGAAATGCGCTTCATGAGGGATAGAACCTAGATGGGCGAACTAGCCTAAATTACAAAGGTCTGTGTATAAATACATTATTGTTATATTTGTTACCCTGTGTGATATGATAGATGTCTCTGTGGGTCCTAATGATGCCTTGTCACGGTATAACGACCTGGAAAGAGCAATTCTTTATGTACAATTGGATTGGGTCATTTTTGTCTCCGGGGACACATTTCCTGATATGGTAACTGTGGCTAGGAATGGAATAGAGTAGAGGCTCACGAGCTCCAGGCTTTCCATTGTTTTGTTTCGGATTACCTTTGTCAAGTAGATTGACTGGTAAATTTTCATTTGTGAACTTAGCCCATCATACATCTGGGGAGGATCCTTATCCATCCAGTGATCTTGAAAGCACTTACCATATCGGGCATGTTTCCCACAGGTGGCCCTGGCCCGAGCCCAAAAATGAGCATCTCTGTCGATCATAGTTCATACACTGGCACCGCGGTATGGAATTTGTCTTGTCCTGAAACCATCTTGAACAAAGTCGATCGACGGACCAAACACTTTGCTTGTGTGTTTCAGATGTTCCTCCTGCAATTGAGGAGAAGTCATGTTTGCATTTTCCCTGGTAGGTAAGGTTGGTCTTAATCGATCAACGCGGTAACACGGTGGTTGACACAATCTGTTGACTAGGCCACGGCTACTGCCCCGTCGCAGAAATTGCGATGGCTACCTAGCAAGCATCCCTACAACCGCTTTCGAGGAGCGACTTACGGTTGAGATAGGATCTTAGCGACGGCGGTGCAGTTTCCAGCGCACAGCGATTGGAGGACACACGTGAGGATTTAGGATCAGTTAGCTTGCTAACTAGGTATCTACATCTTCGCCTTGATCTCCTCGAATAGAGCCTTGAGCTTGTCCATGTCCGTCTCCTGAGTGGGCCAATGGATGCCGAGTCCCTCGGTCTCGTTGGGCTTGGGGATCTGCGGGTTATATAATGGTTATTATTGGGGATCGTCACCCCTTCCGCTGAAGCAAAGCGAAGAAAGAGGCTTACCATGTGGAAGTGAACGTGGTCCACGACCTGGTGCGCTATGCGACCATTGTTCTGGAGGATGTTGAAGTCGGTGGCACCGACCGCCTGCGCGATCTTCTTCGCTACGGGCTGGATAGTCGCACGACAAGTTAGAAGTCTGAGCAAACAAAGTTGTGCATGGGACTGCGAGAGTTCCGGGGGCTGCGTGTCGGTGAGGGGGATGTGGGTTGCTGTGCGTCCCTCAAGGTCCCCGAAGGAATGCAGCCCTTTTAAAAAGACAGATCTCTTTGCTTTTGGAATGCCTTGTGCAGTTTCTTCCCCAGTCTCCCGGTTGCGAGTCTTCAGCTTACCAGGAGTTCTGAAAGGTGGTCGTCGGGGATGTCGGTGAGCTTCGCACCGTGGTACTTGGGGATGACGAGCTGGTTGTATGGATTTCACTGGTTAGTGGGTTTATTTTCTTGTTTACTTGTGATTGATAATATGAGCTGGAGGAGAGATGGGGATTGTTAGGAGGGATAGTGGCATGGGGCGCAGATGGCTTATGCTTATGTTGCTGGGTTCGTGTGAACGAGACGAGGTGTCGTGCGGGGTTGATGCTTTTATCATGTGGTGACGAGATGTTTGGCACCGAAGATACTCACCGCGTGGCCCTTGCTGAGGGGCTGGATGTCAAGGAAGGCGAAGACCTTGTCGCTCTCGAAGAGCTTAAACGAAGGGATATCACCTATTTGTTCATACCGTCCGTTAGCTAGCTGCTTGAATACAGGTCGTGTCGGAGGAGTAATCAATGTGATTTGGTTTTGCGTATCGAGATGCAGAGGTGGAAGGTACCCTTGATGATCTTGCAGAAAATACAGGCAGACATTTTGCTGTATATGCGCGCGGAGTGAGAGGCTCGGAATGCGTGGAGTTGTTTGGGAACCAGAGTCGTGATGACAGAATGCGGGGTCAAGCAAGGTCAACCTTCTTAGTCCAAAGGCGGAACGCGACGGGGAGAGGAGGAGTCGGAAACGAGGAATTGGAGAAAAAAGAAAGAAAGAGGGGAAAGGCGCCGACGGCGGATCGAACGCTGGTAGGCGTTGACAAAAAGTAACATATAGGATACAATGAGAGCCAACCTCCGAGGAGTGGGACAAACTAGCTCAGAACCCATTTCTTGCCTTTTACCAGAGATGGCCGTGGTTTGCCCACAAAACTCCTCTTCTCAATCTTTGGACTCTTCCTTCGACACAGCTGTCGATTTTATTGTTTTTCTTTTTCTCGATCAATGGACTTTTCAGGGGGTGCTTAACAGGATTCTGACTTTTCCTGAATTTTCTAACCCCTAGATGAGGTCGTTCTAGGGGCTGCGGTGCGTGTCGTTTGGCTTTGAGGTCGGTGGGCGTAACGCCATCTCTATGCGGAGCAGCCGCACTGCGGGTACGATGTCTCGCTACGCACAGCGCAGCAGTCTTTCTTTCTGTCTATAGAATTGGTTGAGATAACTCATTTTCCTTCACAGCTACTAGATCTTACTTATAAACATTGATTTTACTCCACGTCATCGACTCCACGTCATCGATTGTCAGGCGTATGCGACTCAAGCCACAGAGACTTGCCATGTACTACATTTTATGATGGTCTCGTATATCCTACGCGTCTTTTGGTTCCTCTACGATCACCCTGGCCTATATAAACTGGGTCGATCAAGTCTGAAAACAGTACGGGGCATGAATGAGTGCATTGAGTATGTTCCAGTCTTTTAATGTCCATTCGGCAGCACTTGCCTTAGTTGGTTTAAGTCCTTGGAGAGCACTGGGTCCTTTGCGCGAAACTCACTCACTTACACTAACTAGCCACCCAAAAGGGTTGTCCTATACGATAGGCGTGCCAGAAGAACCCCCAATCGCTCTCCACTAATGTTACATAGTCTACATGTGGTCTTTGCCGAGAAGCATCAGCAGACATATGATTCGGCGGGAAGACCGAGACTGCCACCCCCGCAGCATGGCAGCTCGCTATCTTATCGGGATCCTCTCTTATCTAGACAGTCACTGGACATACAGGGGACCCAAGTGCTAAGTACATAAACCCTGAATTTGTCGCCTGAGACGCGCAGCATGATCTGCTTCCAGATCTACACACCAAGTCCTGCTAGGATAGCGAGATTTGCGCCCAGACGGCCTACGCTGTTTCCATTGAGGATCATCCGGACAAACCAACGTCGACACTTTTCCGTCTCGTGGACGCAAGCCATGTTGTCTACGGAGCTGACCGAGGCCCAAGTCTCAGCTCTTAGAGCCAACAAAGATCGCCTTGCAAAGGACCTTCACCACAGCTGTCAATGGGGCTCAGGCATTCGATGGGGAGAGTAAGTCCCGGACCATCCCTCTGCGAAGTACACAACTCGTCGTAGCGGTCACGCTCCGTATGGGATGAAAACAGCCTTGTTCGATCCCATCAAACAAGAGCCGTTGGTCAAGTTTGGAATCCCTAAGCTAATCAAATGGAATAGTGGCCCCACGGATACAGGAATGCAGCGCCTGGCATTGTCGCAAGAGGACAAGCAAGTGAGGGATTGGTTCATTGAAACGACAAAAGCCCTCAAATGTCAAGTCACCATCGACGAGATGGGTAATATTTTTGCAGTTCGTCCTGGGCGCAGGACAGATGTGCCCCCTGTCTTTATCGGCAGCCATCTGGATACGCAACCGACGGGCGGCCGTTACGATGGGATTTTGGGTGTCCTCTCCGGCATCGAAGCGTTGAAGTCCATGGACGACATGGGTCTCGAGACAGAGGGTGGTGTAGGCGTGGTCAACTGGACGAAGTATGGCAATCGACCTTCCTTCACTTGAAAGGCTTGCGCTGATGAGTACATTAGTGAAGAAGGCGCGCGGTTCCCTATCAGCATGATCTCCTCTGGAGTATGGGCTGAATGCATCCCCCTGTCGCAAGCCCACGACCTAAAGGAAGTCCCAACGGTTGCATCTCTACCCACGGCGTCGTCAGCCCCAGAGACCATGAAATCGGCACTTGAGAAGATCGATTATCTTGGAAGTGTCCCATGTTCATACAAGCAGACTCCAATGGCTGCTCACTTCGAGCTTCATATCGAACAAGGACCCCATCTCGAGACTGCAGGCCAGCACGTAGGTGTCGTCACAGCCGTCCAAGCATACCGCTGGTTCCGCCTCACCATTGTCGGCAGAGATACCCATACGGGTACTACCGCTTTTGAGCATCGTGCAGATGCTTTGTATGCTTTCGCCCAGATGATGGTGCGTGCACGCGAGGTTGCTTCCTCTCATGGGTGCCTGGCCAGCGTTGGCATCGTGGAGGCCAAGCCCGGCAGCGTGAACACCGTCCCTGGCGTCGTCAGCTTTACTTTGGATATCCGCGGCCCAGAGGATGAGTTGGTCAATGTTGTGGAAAGGCAATTGAGGAAGGACTTCGATGCTATCGCAGCGGAAGAAGGTAAGCCCATTGGGAAGCCTTGTCGCGTGGAATGGACTCTGGACTTCGATTCACCGGTGGTAAAGTTCCACCCGGACTGCATCGACTGCGTTCAGCAATCTGCAGAGGCAGTCGTTGCGGATTCTAATTCAACAGACCCGAAGTCTCTGACGAGAACGATCATGAGTGGTGCCGGCCACGACAGTGTCTTTACCTCGAAGAGGGTCCCGACTAGCATGATCTTCGTGCCATGCAAAGACGGGTTGAGCCATCATCCGGAAGAATTCTGCTCTGCAAATGATTGTGCAACCGGCGCATCAGTCATCTTACAAGCCGTTATCCGCTACGACCGTAAGAGATTCCCCAGCTAGTTCAAGAGACACAGCATAGCGTTGAGCCCAAAAAGACGGCTATGACTCATCGTCTTGACAATTTTAACAATTATTTTACGAAAGAAGCAAAACAAAAATGAAGTCATGAATCATGCCTTTAATCCTAACTATTTCATGGTATCGAGACAGAAAAGCCAGGCATAATCCCAATTTTTGTTTCGGTTTGAGGAAGTGCATAGTGTAGCAATTTCTGACTGGACGTCTACTCAAGCCACACTAGCAGCATCCCGTGTAACCCTTGGAAGACCTGCAGGCGACATTCCTCTAGGAAGAGGGAGCACCACGGCCACGGCCGAAGCCACCACGGAAGCTGGGGGCAAACTCGCCGGGGGCACCGCCCTCCTTGTTCTCACCCTGCTCGCGGCGGCGGTAGCCACCCTCACGGGGAGCACGGGGACGGCGCTCGCGCTCCTCACCACCCATCATACCACGGGGGGGAGCGTGGGAACGCTGCTGCTTGATGTGGGTAGCGGGGACAACCTCAGCGGGGAGGTGGAGCCACTCGCGGAGGTAGTCAAGACCCTGGAGACGGAGGAAGCATTAGATCCTGGTCCATCATGTCTTTGAGATAACGCGATAACATACCTCGGGGGTGAGGGTGTAGTAGTAGTACTGCCACGAGAAGCGGGTCTTGACGTAACCGCGGGAGTCAAGGGACTGGAGGGCCTTGATCACGTAGAGGTTCTTAGTGTCAATGTCGCCATGCTTGGGAAGGTTGAAGTCCTTCTTGGCCACGAGCACACCCTCTGCAGATAATATTCGTTAGTAAACCCATCCTCATTCTGTCGATTCTTTAATCAACCCTCCACACAGCCACATCAAGACGGCAGCGACATAAGGTAGAATTGTGAATCGAGAAACACCAAGTCTATCCAAATATCCATCCCATCCCAAGGACTAGGGAGGACGCGACGAAGGGCGAAGAGAATGAATCACATACCGCGGAAGAGGTACTCGTGGATCTTCTTGCGGTCTTCCTTGGGGATAAGCCTGCGAAGGGTTAGTCAGAGTTCATATCATCATTGGCATAGCGCATCTTCAACAAAAAAGGGGCTATACTCACATTGTTGCGAGTTCCTGGCGCTCTTCGGGGAATCGCTCTAACAACGCGCGAAGAGGGTGGTTTAAGAGTAGTTGATGTTGAGTGGAGCGGGCTGCCCGGCGAGTGGAAAAAGTGCGGTGATTCCCAATCCGGAAGCGCTTGTAGGGTTGTCGCCCTAATCGATTTCCGCTAGCTTGATAAGGTTAGGTCACGTGCAATTGTTGCATCACGTGTTATTAGGCCTTAGGCCCCTGCCGTGGACAGGCAATTAGTCATTGATCCGCTCTTATCGGGGGAAACTCTCCGCATTGCGTTATTACTTCTAGACCTCCGCCCAGCAAGCGTCTCTCTCCTCGTCAGATCGAACCTTGACTCCACCTTGAACAACTGTCGCAAGGGTTGAGTTTCTACTCATCTCTCTTCTCATCGCGGAACCCATATCAGCCTTCTTCCATATCACGCGCAGCTCAACACACGAACAACATGGCGCCGCAAAACATCAACGTGCTCCTTTCATCCTTCCCGGGACTTTCACTTCCCTCCACGGTCACTTTCTCGCTGCCCTCATCCTCGAGTCTCGCCGATCTCACGAATAAAATCTCATCCTACCTCCCGCCTTCGATCCCACTCCACTCCTTGATCCTGACGACCACCAACAACAAACAACTCCTCCCCTCCGCCGAACCGCTCCTGCCTTATCTCGGCAGCAGCACGAATGGCGACGCCGCCACCACCACCGCACCGTCCCTCCTTCTCCCCCTCCGGCTCAGCGTGCCCCTCTGCGGAGGCAAGGGTGGTTTCGGATCCCAGCTGCGCGCCGCCGGCGGGCGCATGTCGAGCAAGCGCAAGCGCAACCAAGGCGACGACAATGGCTCCAGCCGCAACCTCGACGGCCGGCGGCTCCGCACCGTCAATGAGGCCAAGGCGCTGGCCGAGTACCTGGCGCTGAAGCCGGAGATGGACAAAAAGGAAAAGGAGGAGCGCCGCCGCCGGTGGCAGGCCGTCGTGGAGGCGGCGGAGAAGCGGCAGGAAGAGCTGAAGAACGGCGGCGGGAAGCAGAAGATCGACGGCCAGTGGATGGAGGATAAGGAGGAGATGAACGAGAAGGCGCGCGAGGCGGTCTTGATGGCCATGAAGGACGGCATGTGGACGGACAATCTGCGCGATACGATCCTCGGGGGCTCGAGCACCAGCGCCAGCGCCAGCGCCAGTGAGGGCAGTGATCGGGATACTTCGTCTACTGGGGAGGGGAGTGAGGTTGAGGATGATGATGATGATGCGAAGGAGGAGGGGATGGTCGATGCGCCTGGTCCGTCAAATGCGACTCGCAGCAGTGCGCCTCGGCGTTATATCGGGTTCGATGAGGATGATGAGTTCATGAGTGACTCTGAGGAAGAAGATGAGGTTGAAGATGTCAAGGGAAAGGGGAAAGCGAAGGCTTGAAGAGGTATATCGCTTGATGGTCAATGGTTTTGCGTGGCGCATGGTCTGGGCTGGGCATTCACTGTTACTTTACTCTGGGTTTCTATTATGATTTTTATGCATGATTGCTTTCTTGTAACTACTCAATAGCCAAGCAAACGTTGTTTATACCAATTGAATATTATGGACATGAGGTCTACAAGAATCTTGGAGGAGAGATTGCCACTACCAGTAGCAAGTCATCACAAGCCAATGACTCTGGGTTCGCCACAGCGACTTTTTTACGGCCCGCCAAGTGGACCATCGATGCTATCAACTATCAGTCAACAACTATCAATCAAAGTTTCTTGCTGCAACGCCTTTCGCCGCATTTCCTGCTTGTATTGATTTCAAAATGCCGCCATATCTCGGGCGGATTGTCCCAAGAACGACTAGGATATTCCGACTTCCGTCGCAACTCCAGTCCCGCGCCAAACCACTCCCATTGTACCTATTGACGCGGCCGGAAGTCCTTGCCCGCCGCAAGCCCACGAGTCAATATCTCAGCAAAGAGCTACGCAATTACTCCACGACCGATTCCCCACCCGATATCTCCTCATCGATCTATCCGGATTCGCTGCCTGTCTGTTGCCCAGGATGCGGGGCGTATACACAGACCGTTGAGCCCGCCGAGCCTGGGTACTACAGCAAAACCAGAAAGCACGTACGGAAGCTTGGGCAGGAGGCGCAACAGCTTGTCGCAGCCCCGGACGCTGAAGGGGAGAAGGCGGCAGAAAGAATCCAGCAGTATATCGCGAAAGAAGCTGCAGATTGGGGCGAGTCGTCGGCCAGATGTGAGTGATATTCCAGTTGCACCCCCCTCTCCTCCTGTGCATTGTGTCTGTGCTGACACACGGATGATCCCCCATTTAGCCAAGAGATATCTTGAGAAAGATGCTGCTGCTGCTGGCGAATATCTCGCAAAGACACAAGCGCCTATACAGATTTGTGACCGATGCCACGACCTCCTTCACCACAACAGGGCCGTCCCGGCCATTTCACCCTCGATCGACTCCATCCGGGCATACCTGGACGAGTCGCCGCACAAGCATAACCATGTTTACCATCTGGTGGACGCAGCCGACTTCCCCATGTCTCTCATTCCAAATATCTACAAAGCACTGAACATCATGGAACCACGCTCGCGGAACCGTCGCTCGGCCACCCACCAGTATTCGGGCTCCAAGAGGCTCCCAACCCTTCACATTGTCATCACGAGGTCCGATCTCTTAGCCCCTACGTGGGATCTGGTCAACTCGAAGATGGAGTACATCCGCAAGATGCTCCGTATCCAACTCAATCTGTCGTCCGAAGAGTTCCGTCTGGGCCAGGTGCACATGATCAGTGCGCAGCGAGGCTGGTGGACCAAGCAGGTCAAGGAGGAGATCCAGAACCACGTGGGTGGCGTCTGGGTAGTTGGCAAGGCCAATGTCGGCAAAAGTAGTTTCATCGAGGCGTGTTTCCCCAAAGACTCGAGAAACCTGGAGAAGATCGCGGACCTCGTGGAACAACGGGATATCGAGTCGAAGCGGCAGGGCCAGCAGCAGCTGGAGGAGCACCCAAGCTTTCTCGACTCGGACAGCCTCTTGCCCCCGGCACCCCGTGAGGACATGTTCCCCGTGCTCCCCGTGGTCTCTACCCTCGCCGGCACGACCGTCTCCCCGATCCGCATCCCCTTCGGCCGCGGCCGGGGCGAGATGATCGACCTCCCCGGCCTCGAACGCGGCGACCTCACCAACTACGTGCGGCCCGAACACCAACGCAACCTCATGATGACGAAACGCGTCAAGCCCGAGCGCCTGACCGTAAAGCCGGGCCAATCGCTCCTCCTCTGCGGCGGCCTCATCCGCATCACCGCCGTGCGACCCGACGACATCATCCTGGCGGCCTGCTTCGTGCCCTTCGAGACCCACGTCACCCGCACCGACAAGGCCATCGAGATGCAACGCGGCGACCGCCCCTACCCCGGCGACCCCATCCTCCGCGACGACACCGTGGGCACCTTCGCCTCGGCCGGCCGCATCGACCTCCAGTGGGACGTCACCCACTCCCACCTCCCCACCTCCATCGCCAAGGCCGTCGCGGACCACGGCAAACCCATCCCCGAGCTCCCCTACCGGGTCATGGCCGCCGACGTCCTGATCGAGGGCTGCGGCTGGGTCGAGCTCACCGTGCAGACCCGCGCCAGGTCGCACGCCCTCACCGTCGATGAGTACGACGAGGACATGGACGACGACTACCTGCTCGGCGCGTCCAAGGATGTGGCGGCCTTCTCCCGCACGCCCCAGGTCGAGGTCTTCACGCCCCACGGTCGTCATATCGGATCCCGGGCCCCCTTGGAGTGCTACAAGTACATCGCCGAGAAACAGGCGGCGGTGAAACGGCAGGCGCGAGGTCGCGGCCGCCAGAGCATCAGCCATCAGAAACGGGTGAAGGCCAGCCGTCGTGCTTCCTCCTCTTAGGTTCCCTGTTTCTTTTTTCTTTCTTTCCCGTCGGGTCCTCCGAGGGTAGGTGTAGGCATGTAAATGTATACTAGCTTGTTCTACCTTGTCATGTTCCGCATAGCGATTGGTGTTGTTCATTTCGTCATTGTTGTTTACAAAGAAGTGGTGGTGCGAATATTGGAAATCTCTTCTCGATGGCTTTCCACTTGTTCGATTTCCAGTTTAGCATAAATCAGAGCATCTAGATATACTTATTCCATGTTTGCAAATGTTCGGTTTAGGTTTGTTCCTTTTATTGTTTTAGTGTTGTGGTAGTCACCAGATTGTGCCGCCTTAGTCTGCTCCGAACTGTGGTTCAAAAATATGTATCTCGACATACCGAGGACTCTCTACCGGACTACTCACACATCTAGGCAAGACAAGCTAAATAGTAAATCAGGGAAGATTTAGACGTAACATCATCAACTTTAGAATTCTTCTTCTTTTCCATATGCCATGTTTGCTTCTGTTCCAAAGATATCAATCATTTCCCCCAAGCGGTCTGTCTAACTGGTCTAAAGGCAGGATGGGACGGACCCCCTTCCCTTCCCGTCCCTTCCTCCATGCAACCCACACTAGCCCTAATCTAACGGGTACTTCAAGCACATTTACTCAATGTTAGCGAAGTGGAACGAGGGCTGACCGGGGACGGCGTTCTCAGCGAAGAGGCCCTCCCGCTTCTCCCCAGTGCCCAGCACCTCCCCGGTCTTGCCGCCCTCGTCGACGGCGATGATCTCGAGGGCCTTGGCGCCGGTGACGCGGGTGATGGCGCCCCGCATCTCCTGGAGGACGGCGAACTCGTCGAAGGGCAGCTTGCGCTCGAAGACGGTGTCGGGGGCCTCCCGGTTGACGACGAGGCGGCGCTTGAGGGCCTGGACGAAGGGCATGGCCTTCTTCATCTCGCCGAGCTTGCCGACCTGGGCGTTGAGCGCCTTGTCGTTGATGGCCAGGCCGTCGAAGGCCTCGCGCACCAGGTCGATGTACTTCTCCTGCCACTGCGGGTACTTCTTGGCCGCGTAGATGGAGAGCTTCTTGGGCTTGCGCGGGTCGAACGTCACCTGCTTGCCCTTGGAGAGCTTCTTGACGAAGGCCGCCTCGGCCGAGGTGATGTTCGACGAGGTCGCGCGCGTGTAGGCCAGCGCGGCGGAGAGCTCCGGCGAGACCTCGGGGACGCTGGGGAATTGCGCC